ATTTTTTATTTCTTCAGTATTTCATATTCACACATTGAACAAATTTCAATTTCTATGCCCAACAACCAAAGTCACCAAATCCATCTCCAACTCAATCTATTCTCCATCATCTCCATATCCACTTTTAATTTCTCTACTACCAAAGCCAAATTCTAGTCACTTGCAGATAACATATACATAATGTCACTTCAATCACCATCTTATATTCAACCTAAATAAAAAAAAAAGGATGAGGTGTGGTGGTGACTAGCTAGCGGAGGGGAAATGTTTGTGATTGTCACCAACGATGTTCTGAGGTGCAATGACAATTATGATGAGATGTGTGATGACACTTCGACGACAATCACTGTGAATGATGGTGATGATGAATTGTGGTTATTGTTGGTAGAGAGGAAATGAAGATGAAGAAGACTTAACTCTCTCGTTTCTAAATGGAGAAGACCCTAAAGGTTTCTAGGTTTCAAGAATAAGGTATTTGGGTTTGAAGAGGAAATGAAGATGAAGAGGCGTGACCACATTTCAACACCCTCATATCTACCATTTACACTCCTACTAGACTATTTTGGGCGAAAATTTTGTCAATTCTTTTCATCAATAGATTTACTTAACAACATTGATAATAAAAATTTCAATTATCAATAAATTTTATCCATAAAATTTAAGATTTGTAAATACTAACGAAAAAATTCGTCAATAATATATAGTTTTTTATCAACGAATTTTATTTGTGAATTTTTTTTTAATAAATATAGTATGTTATTGACATATTTATTGATAAACTTTTTTGTTGATAATATATTTATTGGTAATTAAAATTTCAAAGTCTGCTAATAATTTAAATTATTGATGAATTTGTTTTCGTTGATAAAATTCTATTAATAATTCTTAGAATTTTTGTATTGATATATACATAAAAATAAAATATAAAACTTTGCACTTGGAATAATGGGGAAGAAAAGAGTATTAGCGCTGGGTTTGACGGTGAGAAAATGGGATCTATAGTGAGAGAGCAAGGAAGTGACGGTGAGAGAAAGAATAGAGAAACTATGAGCATTGGGAAAAGTACGTTTAAGGTTATGAGAGAGTAAGAGCCGAGGATGAGAGGAAGAAGGGATGAGTTTGAAAGAGGGCTAGGGTTTACCAAGAAAAGATAAGTGGTGGCTTTGGAAGGAAAGGAAAAAGAGGATAATAGAAAAGTGACCTCTATCTATTAGAGTTAAGTTTCAAATGCTGCCTTTTCAATAACTCAAAATACTTTTCTTTTTCCTCTTTTTACTTAAGTTTTATTCTGTTTTTGTTTTGATATTTTAAGAATTTTTGTGATTGTGCTTTTTATGTTTCACTGATTAATATTATTTATAGATTGGGAACCTTTCGAAGTTTGAATTGGGTAACTGTTTTTCTTCTTATTCTAAATTTATTTTATTTCAACTTTTGACGACAAGTACACAGAGAAACCAATATTGAACACAAAAACGAGTTTCTCTTTTCTATTTTTTCGTTGCCAGGTTATGTTAATATATATTTATTAATTATTATAATAATAATGTTAATGGAAGAAAATTATTTATATACTTAAACATCTCCAATTATTTTTTTTAATCTAATTTTTGTTTATTTTTTTACAATCATTTCACACAATATTACTTATGATATTATTACATCAATAAAAATAGAGTATTCATTATGGATTTTTTTTATCGAATAATTGTTAGTCATTAGCATGTTTTTAGTGAATGGAGTTGAAATTATAATTTCTCTTACCCTCTCTTTTAGTTTTTCAAACTGATTTTATAACTCTCAAATGTTACCGGAAAAATTGAACTTACAATCTCTCTCTTCCTCTTTTATATTTTTATCATTAAACCATCTTATAACTCTTGTTTCAATAAATTGAATAAAATTATGTTTTGGAAAAATTGCAACATTTTCACTTGAAAAAGGGAATAATCAGAACACAAACTTTATTATTAATTAAATTTAAGCAGGTCTGTTTTAATTTATCCATGTATTGAGAAGTGTTATTTCCCTAATCAATTAAGGAAATAATTTCCTTACTATAAATACATAATTATTCCATCTAATTTTCAGCTAAGTTAACAAGCAAATTTTGCTTCTTTCGGTGTCTGATACGTGACCAAGTTCCGACAATTATTTACAAAGACAAAAGTTGAATTTGGATCTGCTTGAAATAAAATATTCAATGCTATAACAGAATATGTTCATAATTCTTTGCTGAGCTGGGTAGCGGTAGCTTGTCGGATTGAGAAAAAAAAGATTATGGATACCAAGTTAAACATGTGAAGTGATCAATAAAATATATATTATGACTTTGATTGTGTCGCTCGGAGTTCTCAGTAAAATACATGTATAATGATATGAAGCATTAGAAAAAGACAAACAAAAATATTATTAATTAGATGGCCATTTAAGTCTATTCTCTCAGATAACTTTGCTTTATTTCACTTTAAAGACATTTCTCATCTAAAATAAGGTGCATTATCTTACTCTTATCATCCAAAATTTTGGACTCCTCATATGTCATGATTTTCTATCAAAAAAGCTTTCTAGTTCATTATTTATTTATAATAACAGTTAGTGTAAGAGAAGTCTTAAAATAATTAAAATGGATGGTAATTCAGACAATCCTTATAATGATACTAGCGTATAAAAAAAGTTGAGCTGAAGGTAAGTAACGCCAAGATAATTGTGGTGAGAAAATAACAACTATCAACTCAAAATTACCCCTTTAAATAATAATAATTAAAATTCTAATTTATTATATTATATAAAAAGGATTTTCTTTATATCGACATTTTTTTTAATTTTATTTGACATTTTTAAATTTTTTTTTAAATTAAATAATAAAAATCATCAACAAAATAAATGAAAACCATATATAATCAAATTGTAAAAATTATTTATATTACATTTATTTTTATAATTATAATTTTATTATTTTTTGTTATAATAAAAAAATGAACACATGGTTAAAAATAAGTAGAATAGTTATGTGATATAAGGATGAGGACGAAAATAACATAATTATCTAATTATCTCCCTAACCTATATCTTGGTATATTACGATAGTGTGTGTATATATATATAAGATTAGAATAAGATAAGTTAACAGAAAAAAATTATCCTGACGTATTGATTCCCCATTATAAATTTAAACACGATAAAACAACTTATCCTAGTAACTTGGTCAAAGAATACCAAAATAGGCAAAAGTTTGACACATGAATTTAACTGTAGCATTGCCTAGTCTCTAAGTAAACAAAGATAACACTATGAATTTGAATGCAAGTTGATGACAAAGTTGAAGATATAGTATTGAATTCAATTTTTGTTTTCCTTTGGATTTAAATAATAGAAGGCACTATTCAATAGTACATACATTATTTTTAGTATAGTTAGTTGAGTCTCGTCAATCTGTGGAAGCATAATGTTGTCTCCACCCCAATCAGATACACCTTCACGAAAAAGTGTTGTGAATAAAAACATAAATCCAGTGTTCCTAATGGATCCAACTATACATGCATAGTGGCAGAAAATCTATGATTCTCGCTTAAAATGTATGAAATAAGACTTTGCCAAGTTGCAAATTGATGAGAAAAATTTGCACCATCTCCACATAAAAACATCGACATACTCGAAGAATCGAATTTATACACTTCTATTTCAAATACAGAACCTTCTTCGAAACAAATCTTGGTCAATGTACGTTCCTAGATTGAGATAGAGAACAAATCATTATTTTCCTCAGATTTGACACTTTTTCACGCACACACTATTTATATAAGCATCTGAGGCATTCACAAACCTCACCGTACAAACTCACCACCCAGTAACGCTAACAACTACCTAGCTAGGTCAAAATAGAAAAATTCACGACGATTAAGTCCAAGAAGAAGAACATGGAGGAGAACCAGAAGGGGAAGCAGGGCAAGGAAGAAGTGCGGTACCGTGGCGTGCGGCGGCGGCCTTGGGGGAAGTACGCGGCGGAGATAAGGGATCCGTCAAAGCAATGGTCGAGGCTGTGGTTGGGGACATTTGACACCGCTGAAGAAGCTGCTAGAGCTTATGATCGTGCAGCGTTTAACTTGAGAGGTCATCTTGCAATTCTGAATTTTCCTAGTGAGTACTATTCTCAGATAAGGGGTTCACCACCTTATCCACCTCATTTAGCACCACCATCTTCTTCCTCTTCTCATGGTGGTGGAAGCACTTCTTCTTCTGCTGCATATCATAGGCCTGTTTTCGAGATTCCTTGTTTGGATGATAAGGTGTTGGAGGATCTTCTTGGTCAGTCAGAGGAGCACAAGAAGAAAAAGAAGGGAGAATAGTACTACCACTCTACTCTACCATAATTTATCTGCTATTTTCTTTTTCCTTCATTAACAATATATAGTAATAACTCAACTTTATCTCATCTCTCTTCAGATCTAGAAACAAGCAAATATAACTATAGCCTTCGTTACCTGTGTTTGTACAAGTTTCTGTTTCTGGACGAAAAGAATAAACTCTACTTTAACTAATTACGTAGTGCCTTTATTTTCAGCTTAATGTGCCATTAGTGTACAGGATAATTATATGATTTTATCTGCGAATTGCACTACATAATTGCGTCAGATGAAAAATAGGGGTGATTATACAACGTTAAAAATACGTTATAATAATCTATGAAAGGGAAATGTAATAATCTATGTTATAATAGAACGTTCGAAATGTAACGCTTTGCAAGAAAACGTGATTTTTATTCTGATATAAACATAAGGAAAACGGAAACTTCCCTTCAGAAAATGTATATATGCATTTATTTAAGAAAATTTATCTGAAGAGTATAAATAATTGTTAGTCAATATTTCTTCTTCTGTTTTTGCACAAAGCAGGTTTCCAATTAAATTTTGGAACTAATTGTATCATGCTTGACCCCTTGTTAAATTTTCAAAATATTGTTTGAAGGTCTGAAATACATTCATTCATTCTATTTTTTTATGTTACAACAGGGCCACAAAACACTCGTACAAAAGTCATTCATCAAAAATTTGTTGTTATGCTTACTTTGGTATAAAATTTGTCAACAAATGTTAAATACTACCTCTTGCCTTTTTATCGTAAAGTTAAGAAAAAAAAAACAATTTTTCTCATAAATAAAATTAGATAATTTTTAATACTAATACTATAAAGAACAATTTATTAAAAATACACACGTAAAACTAAATTATTTAAGTCATTGCTTAATGACATTACTCATAACCTAAGGATTAGTAATTTCAATTAATGTTTACAAATTATATTGTTAATAGGTCAGGAATAAAAAAAGATGTGTTTATGAATGTTCTCATTTATTTTTTAAAAGTGAGTAGCAGTTAATATGGCATATATCTTTCATATTAATTATCGATGTGTTCTAAAAATATAAGTACATTAACATATGAAATTAGTAAAACAATATATTTTCGACAAAATTAAATTTGTCATCACCTTATTTGTGTTCTTAAAGCGTGTATTTTTATTATGTATATATCCAATACTATGTTATTACATAATAAATATTATTTGGTACTAAAACAAACAACCATAAATGTACAAAATTATGATTACGTATTAATTAAGATAGTTTTCCTTTCCTTTTATTTTATTTTTCCTCCCTAAAAATGAGTTTTTATTATATAGAACTATTACCCAAGTTAATTCGAATTCTATTTAAGATGAGTAGTTAAATAATCTCAAGTACTAATAATAATACACTTTCTTTTACCTTAAAAAACGTTACATACTTGGCCAACTCCTTTGATTTTATTCCCAGTCTGAAGCTAAATATGTTCATCTTAGCACTCTGTCATTGACGTTCATACGGATAGTTAATTCTGTTATACATAGCTTCCATTTTGTTAATTATCATTTAGTTTTCTCCTACCATTTAATATGTGATGCTGTTCTTAAAAAAAAAATTACATATGATGCTGGTTTCTAACTTGGAGATACGTGGTGGAATGACGTTTTCAAAATTGAATTATCGGATCATAAAATTCGTAAGGGGCCAAAAGATCTTAACTTCACAATCTTAATCAATTAATACATAGCATATATCTTGGGTGATTACATAAATAAGTTTACTTTTTCTTTAACAACGGAACCAACAACGTCCACTCATATATTAGGTCTAATTTTAACCCAATGGGTATTATTTTATTTTTCATAATTTAGGATAAAAATATTATTTCAAACCTAAGACACACAAATTAATATAAGTATACTTACAAGAGCTTATACGACCTCACAAGATATGAGTGTGTTGTGTGTTTAGAAAGATAATCTGACAGCTGAAGTTGATTGCGATTTTGATACAGTAAATATGTGATGAATGAATAGTAACTATCTTTAATTTATCATATTTATAACAATCACATTTACATTTAAATTAAAATTATTATTATTATTATTCCCATGGAACTTTCACTTAAAGATTCCGTAAATAGCATGACATTGCTTCAGGTGGACTTACTTTAAAATCTTTAAAATTTACTTTCAAAATTTGTAGATAGATGTGATAGCGATGATTTTACTGAAAATAGTCTGGTTTCCAATAAAAATGTTTTGCATCACTGATAGTCATAGTAAACTTTATATTTGATAAGATAGATATTAATAAAAATGTCATTTTACAAAATTGTTGTTGTGATATATATTTATTAAATAACCTCAATTACTCGGTCAAAACCAATATCATCATATCAGTGGATGGAATTGATTAAAGAAATATAATCCGACTAGTTCATTTATATTCTACTTCTGTTCAAAACTTTCCAAAATTTTTGTTAATTTTTTGTTCAAAACTAACCTAACTCATTACTACCACTTACAAGGAATATTTCATGATCTAACATTTTTTATATTGATGATGATTATATATATATATATATATATAGATATTATATTATATATATATATATATATTATTTGATGAAAAAATATATTTATATAGTAAGATTTTATTCGAACTTTAGTCATGGAAAGTGTTGGGCTGTCTTTATTCTTTGTTGCCAGCGTTTTTCATTAAGTGGGGGTATTTAATAAACTTTCCATTTTTTTCTAAAATAGGATAAAGAGATGTTGTCTGGTTCTTTATTCAAATAAATATGAAGACAGAAGGTTAAAATTGCTTATATATTTTTTTCATAATAAAATTTTGTTAGAATTATAAGCGTGAATTTAAGTGTCAACAGTGATAAGAAAGTAAAATATCATATAAGTTGAAAATTCATTATTTTATTGTGTTAAAATTTAAGACAAAGAGTGATGTGAATCTTTTGTCAGATTTTAATTTATTTATATTTGATCTTTATTTTTATTTTGATATTTTTATTAAAATATTTTTAACAAAATTAAATTTATTTATATTTATATTTCAGATTAAATTTTATTTAAAATTATTTTAAAGTCGTTAATAGAAAGTAATATTAATAGCAAAATATTCAAAATTAATTTCATCTAAAAAATGCTAAACTTATTTATCAATTACATTTCATAAAATAAAATAAATTTATCAACTTTTTCAATTCTTTTAACTAATTATGTATTTTTAAAATGTGTAAAATTTTTAAAGATAACAATTTTACAAATTCAAATATAAAATTTTAAAATAATTTTAAACAATTTTATAACAATTTAAAACAAATAAATTTAAAATTTGAAATCAATTTTAAATCAAGTTTAATGTAAAATATAAATATAAATACACTTAATTTTGTTAAAATTATTTAATAAAAATATTTGTATAACATCTATATAAAAATTTAATTTCTTTTCAATTTGAAGAGGGACAAAATGATTTCATTAAAAAATAAATAAACTGGATTAAGACAAAATAAGAATAGAAAGACTAAACTGAAAATGAGACAAATACACCTAACATAACATTGACACGTGCATTGTCACTACCACTTGCCACAGGTTGACACATGACAATTTTTTTTAAGAATATAATGAATAAAAATAAAAGTAATTAAAAATATTTAAAAAAATTATAAATTAATAAGTGACACTTCTTTAACGGTATTATTACGATACTAAAGAAAAAGATCTAATTGCATCAAAATTTTCAAAATAAAAACCAAATTGAGACATATATCAAGATGATAGACGAAATGTACAAAATGAGGAATAACTGATACACTTGCAGTACCAGCCAATTGATGAGTGAAGCAAGAAAGTCATACCTGAAGAGTGAGCTCCTGCAAACCAACCCTAGTGCAGAGAAACCGGAGGATGGAGGCAAACTGAGATGTGCACAGTGAAGTAGAAGGCATAAAGAAAAGTAATTGCAAGTACGAGAGAAGAATCCAAAATGCAAGATATTATTGAAAGTATGATGATGTGTTACAGTCAGTACAAGTAAGTAAAATAAAAATGGAAAAAATAAGATGGGCTAGGCCGCAAGTCTGAAGGCCCAATTACTAACATTATCATCCCCCTCAAGCTGGGAGTAGATGTTTGTCATGCCCAGCTTGGTGTGAAGATACTTGAAAACGGCAGGGGCAAGAGGTTTAGTGAAGAGGTCGGTAGCTTGTTCAGTGGTAGAAATTGGGAGCAACTTGAGGAGGCCAGTGTTGAGTTTGTCCCGAACAATGTGACAGTCGATTTCAATATGTTTGGTGTGTTCGTGGAAGACTTGATTAGAAGCAATCTGGATGGCGGAGCGATTGTCACAGTAGACTATGGCAGGTTGAGTGGTGATAATACGAAGGTCATGAAGAACGTAGGTCAACCATTGTAGTTCACAGGTGACAGCAGCTAGAGCCCGGTATTCAGCTTCGGAAGAGGTTATGGAAACAATTTGCTGCTTTTTGGATTTCCAAGAAATGATAGAGTTGCCATAATAAATGGAGTAACCAGTGATAGATTTTCTGGATTCGGGACAGGTGCCCCAGTCAGAATCACTATATGGTTTGAGCTGATTGGTGTTGTTGCTTTGGAGGAGGATGCCATTGTTGGGACTTCCCTTGAGGTATCGAAGAATGCGGTGAGTAGCTTGTTGATGTAAGGTGGTAGGAGAAGAAACAACTTGGCTGAGATTATTGACAGAGAAAGTGATATCGGGTATGGTATTGGTAAGGTAGATGAGGCGACCAATGAGTCTTCTGTAGGATGAGGCACCTTCATCATTGAGGAGGTCGCCTTGACTAGTAAGACGTGAAGACTGAGCCATAGGGGTCGGCATAGGGGCGCAATGGAGCAGCATTCCAGCTTCAGTAAGTAGGTCGATGGTGTACTTGCGTTGACAGAGGTGGATTCCAGAACTGTTTCTAGCAACTTCCAACCTGAGAAAGTAGGTGAGGTCACCCAAGTTTTTGATGTGAAAAAGGCTATCAAGAGAAGTAGTGATTTGTTGTATCTCAGTGGCGTTGTTGCCCGCAAGAACAATGTCATCAAGATAGATCAAAATGGCAGTGATGTAGCAAGTATCATGTTT